GGTGGAACCACTGAGCTAAATCCCTGGCCCTGAAGGTTTTTTCTGTCTATTGTGTCCATATGGTGGAAAAACTGTAATGCTGTGGTCAGTGACAGATCCCTTGATAACTCAGATATTTTTTGTTTGTTTGTTTTGGTTTTTTTGGTACTGGGGATCAAACTCGGGTCCTTGTGCTTGTGCGGCAGGCGGTGGACCCACTGAGCTAAATCCCTGGCCCAGGTTTCTCTAGATTATTAAAGAGGAAACAGTAAGAAACAACAAAAAGAGTTCTTAAAAGCTGCATGGAATTACAGTTTTTATTGTTGATATAGTTTAAAATATGTTCCCAGCAAAGGTATGTTCAAAGATACATAAAAATTACAAGCATTTAACAAGTTACACATGCTTTCAATCCTAAAACTAATGACTACATTCTTTTACTTAAAAAATTTTGGTACCTATTTTATGTACCAAGCAGGCACTATACCAAACACTTAGGATGTAAATATTTTTAAGAGATTTGTCAACTAAAGAACTGGTTTACAAATATTTTATTCAAGTGCAAGGAAAATCCGGTATGTTGAGTGGTCTAGATTAGATTCACTGCATTTTATTTAGTGTTTACCCTAAAATGTTGCAGTTTTAGTCACAGCAATATTGCTACTGAGTGCCATTAAGCTTCTAAGCAATGCCTTTTAGCCTGTTAACTGAAGCAGTCAGAGTTCACTAAAGACTTTCAGCTGAAATTGTCAGGTTCTTATTTTTTTTTATTACTAGTGGTTACTCTTAATCTACAATTAACATTTACTAGTGATTCAAAGTACATTATGGAAACTGTTGATAAAGAAAAGCTGTCAGGGGCTGGAGATGTAGATCAGTGACATAGTGCTTGCCTAACATGGGCTAGCCCTTGGGTTTGATCCCAGGCACCACAAAAGTAGAAAAGCTATCAAATGAATAAGTTAACATTTAAGAACTTTGAATTTAAATAAAGCAATAAATAAATAAAGCAGTTAAACAAAGCAGTAACTTTTAGTGGGTGCATTGGGTCTGGAGTCTAACACTGAGTTAAAAAGTCCTGGCTCTGTCATTCATTGGTCTGTGATTCTGGACAAGGGGCCTAACTTCTCTAATCCCTAGTTTCCATGCTTGAAAATGATAGTACCAACTGAGAAAGTCATTGTGAGGGTGAGGGCTAAAACACAGAAACTACTAGGTCACTTATTTTAGCCATGAACACATCAGTTTTTCACATACTTTTTACCTAAAATAACCACACATTTTTTTCCTGCTTCTGGGAACTGAACCCAGGGCTGCTCTACCACTGAACTACATCCTCTGCCCTTTTTATTTTGAGAAGGGCTAAACTGACCAGGCTGGCAACTTGTGATCTTCCTGCCACAACCTCCTGAATACTTGGGATTACAGGCCAGTGCCATGGTGCCTGCTGTAACAATACATTCTTATTAACTTCAGTTCAGGACAAAGCTACTGAATTTCTTTAGTAACACTGGCATTTATTATGTAAGCAATGAAGTACATATTTGCCTTTATATCCATTTTGCATTTTAAGTATGGGCTTACAACTTTCAGTGCACCTTCAAACAATTCTGTTATCATGTTTACTTCCAGAAGTCTACAAGTACTTTGAACGTTTCTGTTTCCATTATCTTGAGGAAAGTTTTAAGAGTTTAGCTTTACACTGTCTAGAACATTTAGGCTTTTGCTTCTTTGCAAGGCATTTAAGTCACTGCATTTTAAGGGGTAGTTTATCTTTTTGAAATTTTCACCAACTCTGGTATTTTCATTACTAGAATGACTCTGCTACCATAAGACAAACTACTTAGGTTTGGAAGAATTAAGATATCAACATTTGTCTTTTCTCTTATCCCCAGGGACCCCTCAGATATTTCCTCTTGTTATTTCACTTGCTCTTGCTCACCGGCCTCAATAACTGACCCTGCTCCAGGCAGCTTCACAGGGGCAGTATGAGGGCAGCATGGCTCAGTAGGCCAAACAGGTGTTACAGTGACTGACAGTATATAAATAAAAGTTGCCCTGATACTCAAGGGCGTGCTTCTAATCTTGGCTCTGTTACTAACTTTCAAAGAAACTGGCCAAGTTTTTGAACTTCTTTCTGCATTTTATGAGCAAATTAAGGAACTTTAAAGAAAAAAATTCTTCAGCTCAAAAGAGACAGATTAAAAAGAGGTGTGGGGTCGCAAACTACTTTATTTTCCATCTGATCAGTGAAACTCCTTGGATCATTGTCCCATTTTAACCCCCACTCCTATATTAAAACTAAGTTTGAATTTTTCCAGTAGCAGTCCCAAGGCCACAGTGTTATTTCACTACAAAATAAGAGATGATCACCAAGATCCTTCCAGCTCTAAAATTCTACAATTTTTGAATCTTATCTGTGAAAGGTAGCATTTAACCTACATACTAGTATTGTTATATTTAGTTTTCAATGTTGGTTTCTGGGTTAAAAGTGCAACCAACTGATTCACAAAATACAAAGCTGAACCTTGGCTTAAAAAACAAAACACAAAACAAACCAGAACAGGATAAATCAAGTACACTATTACATGATGATTTACTGTTTTTAAATTGTGGTTCATTCTTGCATAATAGAAATCAGTAAAGTGCCTGAATCAATTTTATAAGCTAAATAGTTTAGATTCATACTTATCAAATTCCTTTAACAAAATTAAAAGTACTGCATTTAAACAGAATAGAAAAAGAATAGATTAAGTGAACAATCTGACTTTCAAAATTCAAATGCAAGAAACCAGATTG